ATCTCAGGTCCATGGTATTTTTGATATCGAAATACAAGGAACGGAAAATAAATTCAAATACGAATTATCGGTTTTAGATAAAGACAAAATTTGTGGATACATTCCTAGAGTGAAACTCAAACATATATGTTCCTCACTTCGAGAACATAAAATCAAAATCAGTGATTCTTCCAGATATCGGATTGTTAATAGGAGCCGACTATTCCGGACAGTTGATGACGAATAATATCATTCCAATTGACAAAAACCTTATTGCCATTGAAACAAAATTGGGTTGGACCCTACAAGGCCCAGTGCAAAGTCATAATACCTTGCTTGGTACCGTCGGACTTTGTTATTTGGATCTCACAGAACTATGGAATTTAGAGACAATTGGCATAAAAGATCCGGCGGAAGTGAAGACTAAGGAGAATTTAGACAATGAAACGATCAAATTTTTCCTAGAGAACATTAAAGTAATCGAGGGCAATAGGTATGAAGTCTGTTTGCCTTGGAAGGATAGTCATCGGATTCTTGAAGATAATAAAGATAAAGCGGAAAAAAGACTTTTCGCCAATACACGAAGACTGCAGAAGATGGGATTTTTCGAAGAATATGATGGTATTATTAAAGGCTGGCACGAGGAAGGTATAATTGAAATAGCTCCGAATAATAGTGATACTGGTCACTATTTATCTCATCAAGCAGTAATCAAGGATTCCAGTCTGACTACGAAAGTGCGACCTGTATTTGATGCATCATTGAAGGATGAAAATGGGAATTCCTTGAATGCTTGCCTCGAAAAGGGGCCGAATTTAATAGAAATGCTTCCAAAACTTTTGATACAATTCCGGCAACATGCAATTGGTGTTACTGCCGATATAAGGAAAGCTTTCTTACAAATCAGTTAGTTTGTGTGTCAGAGACAGAGACTTTTTGAAATTCCTGTGGTGGAAAGATTCAAACAAAACCAAGATTGTTACCTACAGACATTGTCGTGTCGTGTTTGGCATTTCTTCGAGTCCATTCCTGTTGGGAGCAACGATTTCTTACCATTTGGATAATGCTCCACAAGATTTAAGAGGAACGGCACTATAGCTAGTTTCGAAACCGAAGAAGAAGTAGTCAGGTTCAAAGAAGAGTCCCAAACTCTAATGTTTTCAGGAGGTTTTTGACCTTAGAGGGTGGACTGTTGCACCATTCAAAGATAGAAGCATGACTTCCTATCAGAAGATTATTCCTATTCTGGGACTCTCATGGGACATCGAGAATGATGAAATCTATTGCAATTTAACCCCTTTGACATTTTCGGAGAGTGCCCACACGAAACGATCTCTTTTGTCAGTCTCACAGAGAATAGAAAACTCATTCTGCAAAAAACATGGAAGATGAAACTTACCTGGGATGAAAATCTTCCACAAGGTATAGAAAGAGAATTTCAGACTTGGCTCGAAAGTCTAAACTTCTTGAATTATTGTAAAATTTCAAGAAGACTTGTGATTGGACCCTTCGATGACTGCTCTATCTCTCTACATTGTTTTAGCAATGCTAGTAAGGTATCTTATGCAGCATGGATTTTCTTACGTGCACATTTTGAAGGCAAAACTTCAGTACAATTGGTATTATGTAAATCAAGAGTAGCGCCTGCCAAAGAAGTAACTATTCCCAGATTAGAGTTGCTTGGAGTACTTATAGCTTCTCGGCTGTACCGTCAAGTCATTGACGCTCTTAAATTGACAAAGTGCCAAGTGTACTTTTGGAGCGACTCGTCTGTAGTTCTGACATGGATAAAAAAAAGACTTCCCACTGGAGTGTTTTTGTGGCCAAATCGTGTAGCTGAAAGAAGGAGATGCACAAATCCGGACGACTGGCATTATGTACCAAGCTTAAGCAATCCAGCTGATCTTCCCTCTAGAGGGTGCGATGCCAAAATGTTGCTACAGAGCAGATGTTAGGAGGGGCCGGATTGGCTTAAACAGGAACCGGATGAATGGCCTCTCTCTGAAGAGTCAGAACTAGAAACTGATGAAAGTACAGTTAATGGAAAAAAGGAAAAATGTGGTTTCTAGCGTTTCCTGTAGAACCCCAAACTTTACAGAAACATTCACTCGATTTTCTGGATATTATAAAAATGTGAGAGTATTAGCTTGGATCTTTAGATTTCTTAACAACAGTCGTCATAGGAGAAACGAAAAATTTAATAAGGAATTAACCTCAGAAGAAGTGAGTTTTGCAGAAAAAAGGTTGTTATATTTAATCCAAGCCGAAAACTTTCGGAATACTGATGGAAAAAATTTGAAAGGGATGATTACATTTAAGGATGACTTTGGACTTCTTCGAGTAAGAACCAAACTAATTTTAAGTGATGAAGACGAAAACTTTAAGTGTCCTATTCTATTGCCAGGGAACCATGCACTAGTTCATCGCCTAATAGAACAGAAACATCGGCGACTGCAAGTACAGGGACCTTGATCTGCAACTTGCGAGAAGATTATTGGATTGTCGGTGTGAGACGTCTTGTGAAGAGAATTTGTTCAAAGTATGTTATTTGTAAAAGATTCAAAGGCAAATCTGTTCAACCACCATTTGCACCCTCACCAAAGAACCGCATTAAACATGCTGGAGCTTTTGAGGTCACTGGCATCGAATTGGCTGGCCCACTGTATGTATTGTCTGGCGAAAAAGCATGGATTGTGATTTTTACTTGTGCGATCTATCGTGCTGTGCACTTTGAATTGACGAAATCTTTATCAGCAGATTCATTTATAATGGCACTCCGAAGATTCATTGCAAGAAGGGGTAGAATAAGCATCTTATATACTGACAATGGTACCAACTTTGTAGGAACGAATAATGCACTAAACGAACTTGATTGGGAAAAAATAATGGAGTTCTCAACAATTGAGAAGATTAAATGGAAGTTTAATCCTCCAACCGCTGCCTGGTGGGGAGGATTTGGGAGAGGTTGGTACGGATGGTAAAAGATCTTTTAAGACGAGTTTTGGGCTCTAAAACGGTCAGTTACATTGAGCTGGATACTATACTATGCGACCGTGAAGCAACAATGAATTCACGACCCTTAACTTACTTAGAAGACGGGACTGCGAAGTTAAAGCCATTGACACCTGCATATTTTATACAAGAAATCCCTCACCATGATGTAAAGCATCTGGATACTATAGATAGCAAAAGTTTAAATCGTCGCTTGCGGTATTTACAAAATCTTCGGATTGATTTACGCTCGAGATTTAGAAATGAGTACCTAGCTGTCACATTCTTGCCACTAGGTGGCGGGCATCTCTTCCTTTACTTTGCTGTAATTAAGTTCCGAGTCCAGTCGAGATTGGAACCGCTCTGAGGAGCGTAAAAACTCAGAATTAAAAATGTACTGTCTTAAAATAATTATCACCTATTTTTGTAAATAATGTATATTAAGCGTTTTCTTTGAATAAAGTAATTAAAGACAAGATGGCCTGCTAATTGTAATAGAAACTCTTACTGGAAAACGTGATTATTAGAAGCCTGGCGTCGAGAACACTGAAGATGCAGCAGGTAAGGAATTTTACATTAATTTTATTGTAAATAGAAGAACCTGATGCAACATTTTTGGCGCCCGCACAGGGACGCCAGGTTTTTTTGAAAGTTCTAATAAAGTGAATTCAAAAGCTGAATATTAAAATGAAGATTTTAATACTTGTTCTTGAAGTATTCAGCAAAAGAATAATTTTGTTTTCTAAGTAAGAGTTAAATATTTGTTTTTGATGAGACGTATCTTTTTTGTGTAAATGTTTGAATCTAAGAAAGATAATGGCAAGAATGTGACACTAGCCATGCTAGTCCATAGAAGAGAACGAAAAGGAGACACTTTAGAGGTGGGTGATGTGGTGCTGATTGGAACTCCGGAAAAGCGCATCAACTGGCCACTGGGACTTGTTGTCCAAGTATTTCCAGGTGCAGATGGTCATGTAAGAGTGGCAAAAGTAAAAACGGCTGACGGAGAAAAAATAAGACCCGTCCAAAATCTGTATCCTTTAGAAGTGACTTGTCCCTCAGAGCTACCTCAGCCTCAAGTCTCGTTAAATCCAGATCAAGATGCGGATATTAGAAGTTCCCCCCAACTACGAACAGCTCTGGATGGTCAGATTGATACCTCAAGGATAGTTGAGCCTCTGACTGAGTCCCCTACAATAGGCAGACCCATAACCACTAGGGTCGGAAGACAAGTAAAAGTTCCTCATCGACTGAATCTCTGAACTGAGTAGAGAATACGTTGCAATTTTCTAAAAATTGCAAGGTGGGAGGATGTTCAGGAACGTGCACGAACTCAGTTAATACACAGTAATTTAATATGTTCATTATAATGTAGATTTTTTGTGGCAACAGTGATGTTGTTGACATAAGCTTTGAGCGTGATAACGCATGGTATGTTATTCCTTTTGATATGTTTAGAATGTTAAATAAAATAGTTCGTTGTTAATTAAAAAGGTTTTCTCTGCTAAATATATTACCATTCGTCCGAAATTATTAAATAAGTCAAGAAATTGATTAATTTCAAACAATATGTATTCAGCTTCATACTTTTGAAACAAATGTGGAATCAATTGAATGCATGCATCTGTAATTATTATTAATGCCCTGAAATGTTTGTGGTGATAAAATTTCTTTTATTGGGATAGACTGTCAAATATTCTATTAGAAAGAAATAATCAAAATAAAGAATTCCTAATGTACTATACTAAACAAATATTCAAAACAATACTATGCAAAATGTTCAAACTAGAGTAAATGTATTCGATGTTATGTTAAAACGAAATACTTGAATACGATTGAGAACAGCTACAAATTTTCCCAAATAAATCTAAAAATTAAAAAGGTATAAAACGAAATATAAATAAAAATATTATTTACCTTAGTTTAAGTGATTTAAAATCACTTAGAATAGCAAAATTAACATCCAAAAAATCCACGAACACACACTACAACACATCTTCACAACCACACACATCGACCATCTGGATCACGTGACTTTTGCGCTTCAAGGCCATTACAGAGTGACAAGATACATCGGTCGACGCGTCTGCTGCATGTGAGTGACAGTTCTTGGCGTTCATTTACATTCGTTGCATCAACAGTTTCATTTTATTTGTGTTGTTGATTTGCTATTATACCTGGTCAGAAATTTCAAATTGTGCTGTATCGTTATGTCAGAATTTAGAAGGAAAACTAGAAGTCAGGGTATCACATACCATCTTTTTCTAAGTGATCCAGAACTTCTTAAGTTATTGGATTGTTCGCTTCAAAAAAGCAGATAATACCAACATCGAAAATGGAAGAATATGTGCTCTTCGTTTTACACCTGATGACTACGTACGGGATCTAAACGTAGAATTGCTTGGTTCAATCTCTAAAAGGGTGCTGAAAGCTAATGCTGTTCCCCTTTAGACCTTACATCATCATCGTATGAAATAACCCACCAATATGTTATACTTCAAAAGCTGATGTTAATCTGGAGAAAAAGATTTCTAACATGAATGATTCATCCAAATTTATGCTAAAAAGAGATAGAGCAAGCAGGTGTACAGTTTAAATCACGATCATATATTACTCACAGAATATCAAAATTCATTAAATGCACGAGCAATGAAAAACATATGGGAAATGTTTTTGATTATGCTATTACCATGGTTTTAGCAGTTCTGCCTTCATGTCTTCTATTCAACAAGATTTATTAAGTGCAGGCAATACAACGCAAAAATATTTTAAAATACCGCTGTTTACAATATTTAGTTTCATTAACTGAAATATCATTTTTATTATTCTAATGCTTTCCTTTAATAAAAGGATGTTTACAATTGTTTTAGCATTCGTACGAATTCTGAATATAAAATAAACATTTGCCTTGACAAAATGC